TGGTCTTCTAGATGATTTGGGGATTGAGCAGGATTGTGTGGACTTGTGGTGTGATAGCCAGAGTGCGATTCATTTGGCTAAGAATCAGGTTCATCATGCTCGAACCAAGCATATCGACGTCAGGTATCATTTTGTGCGTGATATTATAGAGGAAGGTGATATTTCTCTCTTGAAGGTATACACAAATGAGAACCCAGCAGACATGTTAACCAAAGTGGTAACGAATAGCAAGTTTCAGCATTGCTTGGACTTGCTTCACATTAGTCCGCGGTGATATGCCCGAGTGGGCATGGCCCTTCAGGGCGGGGTTGAAATGAGGTGAAGAGTATATGAAGGTGGAGATGAAGTACGGAGGCTTGATCCCGAGTTTTGGGTACGTAGGCAACCATGGTTTGAATCGTGTAGCCGAGTTTGGCGCTTGCTGCTTCTTCTTGTGTTCGTCCAAAATTTGAGGTCTATCAAATGATGTACGAGGTGGAGAATTGTGAAAAAGAAAGGAGCAGGGAGGCGGGCACTATGGCGCCATGAGTGGGCGCCATAGTGCCCAAGAGAAAGAAAAGAGCAGGGAGGCGGGCGCCATGGCGCCCAAGTTTCTGAACGAACTTAGTGCCATGGCGCCCGACTCAGCTATATATATATATAGCTATTTTTCCCTTCATTTTTACATCCGATTTTTGAGAGAAAATAGAGAGAGCTTGGATAGAATTTAACAAGTAAGAAGTTTTTTCTTGGGTATAAATTCAAAGCTATTTTTCTTTCTTGGGGATTAACTTGAGGCTTGTTCAAGTAATCCAAATCCATTGTTCTTCATTTATATTGAAAATCATTTCTTCCCCAATTTTCTTATCTTTCCTTTCATCTTCAAGTAAGTTGGGATTTTCACATTGCAAGTTTATTTGTTCTTGGACAAGATTGTGAATTGTTTTTCCCAACACATACCAGCAAAAAAGTTACAAAGAACAAAATGGTGGCTACTATTCTCAGCCTTGCATGCCAGCTAATCTTTCGAAGGAGTACGCGTAGTTACATTTGCATATGACGAGGCACAGCCGCAAAAGAAGGTTCATTGGGACTTGGCTGGAACGGGCTGGGGAATCTCAAGAGGAACTGGAAGGCATGACTTGACCTAAATATTCAGAAGACATGGTAACCAGCAACAAAAAAACAAAGGGCGAAACTCTATTTATCAAGAGAGGGAAAGGAAATATTAATGTTATTTCATCTCAAGAAACAAGTACAAAAAACACACGCATATAAAAAATTTGATTTGTTAAACGATCTAAATGCTTAAACAGATACCATAATAAATTTATTAATTGTTTTTATTTCCAATCCTGTCAAGTGTTAATGAAAAACGTTTCTTTGAAGACAGGGCATATGAAGTTACCATTATTGGTGATGGTGTGCTCTATCATTATTGGTGATGGTGGCAATTGAACTTGATATTTTTAATGAGTATCACTTCAAAAATATTTATAGTACTACTTGAGGAAAGGTGTTTTCTAAAATTCTACACCCTACATTATTCTAAACATATTTTAAAATCATATGATATCTAGTATTTCTTTACTCATTTTGAGAAGGCAGTTCTAGGAGCACAATTGCAATAATACCTGAAAATGGGACACGAACAAAAGTAGTGAAAAACTGCAAAGCTTATAATTTCATTATGTTTGTTGATAGTTATAAATTTAGGTTTAATTGAGGATAGATAATTGTCGATGTTAAAAAATTGAACGTATGAATGAAGTGATCATTTATACATTGGAATGTATTTAGGGCTTTTAACTTGTTACACTCTAGTACTCAATTTAGCCGTGTTGAAATTTAAGAATGTGAACTAATACCTTAAATTGATTGTGTTCTTGATATAGACTGAAATGCCTGATGTGCATCCAAATAAATATTATAACTACTTAGAGGAGTGCATTGAGACGTTGTCATTGATGGAGGGCTCCCACACTGCTGGCACCAATCCCATGTACAAGGAAGAAAAAGAATGGAGAAATATACAACAAGAAGAGGAAAAAAAATTAACTAGACATACTCATGTTCTGCCATAATTTCAAATTACCTAGGGATTAGAAAGAGTTCTATATATACTACAAGAATGATAATTATAGACACAAGTAAATCAACGTTGTTATGTTCACCTTATGTCGACTGATGCCAAAAGGTGAATTTTCCCCATATTTGTTGGTGGAGAGTAAGAAAAAGAATATAATGCAATCTCATCGACCTTATACGGAGATCAATTGAAAATAGAAAAAAAATATATATATATACCCACATCACTTGACATCATTTTTCCATGGGTAAAACTAGAGAAACTTTTCTTTAGTTGTTGTAAATAAATCAATATGTTTTGCAATTCTTTGCATTGTATTTTAAATTTTCACATATGTAATAAAAATAATGGATCCAATTATCATTCTTCATTATTGAAAATCATAGACATAGTCCACATCTACATAATGAGATTGGTATTCACTTGTATATCATAACATGAACACCACGTATATATACGATTATGATGAAATAATGAATCCGAGAAATTTCTAGTATTTTTAGGGACATTTTTTTCAAAATTTGTAGGATAAATATCTATAGATATCGTTGCCATATTTCAAGGAGTTGATATCAGCCTAAAATAATTATCCTCTTCAACACCACTTTCTATATCTGCAAACCTCAACCCTGAGGAGACTTATATATGAACTATATTCAAACTAGAACCTTAAGAAGTAAAGCACCATGTACAAAAGTTCAACCACAAATTGAACATATAATTTTTTTCGGATTGTGTAAAAGTTAATATCAAACATATCCACAATTCTATCGCCCGAAGCACAATCATCATCATTTTCATTTCAGCCATTCAACCATTCCAACCAAGTTCTGAGCTATATAACTCGTCTTAAGAGTAATTTATGATAAATTATGCAATAATGAGAATGCACCAAAAAAGAGGCTTGGCTGAGAAATTTGACTTCCTCAAAAACTAAGAAAGAAAATTGTATTACAAGTAAAACACCTTCCTCGAATTGTCAAAAAAATGTAGTTCATAATATTCATGAAGCAAAATTAAAAGAAAAGTTGTACTTTCAGACTACTTCTGATGAGTGATTTACACTCATTATATTATGCCATTTATTTCATGATTTTGCTATCTTGGAGAGTATTTTAGAAGTGCTAACAAGTGATTTTGGTGTTGTGTTGTAGATTGATGAAAGTGGAGAAAACAAGAGCTAAAAGAGGTCAAAGGAAGGAAATAGGCAAAAGTTAGCGAAATTGGAAGAAATGACCAAAATGTAAGAGATTCAAAGTTCGAGGATTAAAATGCAATTAATCAAAAGTCGTGTCGAAACTTGAAATGAAGATCTGAAAGTTTTAGAAGCCAATTGGATGAAGGAAGGTGTCAAAGGGATCAAATTTAGTCAAGATATGATCATAAATCATTTTCCAACCAAAACGTTTTGCACCGGGTTTTCAGCCTCATATTGAGACTCATTTTTTGACATAACAAATGATCGAATTGGAGAATAATATCTGATACAAAGTTGTAGCCCTTTGAGTTACCTTTTCAATGCATCTTGAATAACCTCAATCGGATATCGGGAGAAGAATTATGATAAAAATACTAAAGGCTGTTCAGTGCAACCGAAGTACTCCTCAGCGCCCAGGCGCCGCCGTGCGAGAGTAACTTTTTTAGGTTTTTACCATTCTTTTTCGGCCGAACTTATCTCCAAATCTTTCCCTGAACTCCAAGACAATATAAACACAGAATTGAAGACCTAAATTAGGGGAGAGCCGCACACTAAAAATCTGTGGGATCAAGGCATGCGTTCTTGACATATTGGAGAGTAGACAACAAGAAGGGAGATTGAAAAGAGAAATTCAAGAAGATTAACACCAAGCAATTGAAGATTAGAAGCATTCATTGGAAGGGAAAGGAGATCTTGGTGCAAGAATTCTACTTTTTCTTTTACATCTTTATTACAAATTTGGTGATGTATTTTAAGACAATTTCCTATTTTTCTTCTTATGAGTAGTTAAATTTGATTTTAGAGTGAACAATGTAATCTTTTGGAATCGTTTATTTCATGCAATTGAGATTTTAGTGCTTTTATATTTTATGTGTTGATTTTAATGTTGTTCTTAATACATTTAATTACTTGATCACTAATTAGATGATTTGTGAACAATGATTGCGTAGAGATGCGGATTATTTGTTTTGGCCACATGTTAAAATCCGGTAAATTGATATAACGTGTAGAGATACCTATATTGATTGCTGCGGTCATGTGTGAATTCTCAGAACCAATGTTTCATTTAATTAAATTTAATTTGCATAGAGATATGGAATTAAACTAATTAAATAGGCTCAATGAGAACTCGAGAGGGATAAGTTGAATACAATAGAAGAATTCGACCAAACACTACCTTAGGTTTTATGAATCTTGATTTATGAAGTAAAGGCGACCAATAGGTGAAATTGTTCTACCATAACGTCTATTTATTGTTTGAATTCTCAATTACTTTTCGTTGCATCCAATCGCATTTTTAAGTATTTAGAATAAAAATCACATTTAATCATTGTTTTTGTTTATTTTCGTCAAATAGAAGTTAGAAATAATAAATTGAGCATTAAAAGTACAGTCCTCATGGGAACGATAATCTGGACTCAAAAGGTCCACTTTACTACTTATTACAATCCGTTCACTTGCGAGATAAAATCGACAACAAGTTTTTGGCGCCATTACCAGGGACTATTTCTTTTAGTCTTAATTTTTTTAACTGTTATTTGATTTGTTTATTTTTCTTTTATTTACAGAAAATTGTGTTCGTTGTATGCTCCGTGCCCAAGGCGACATCTTGAACCGTTTGATTCGGAGATAGAACGTACCTTCAGACGAAGACACAAGGAACACAAACAAAAACAGCAACATCAAATTGCTGACAATCAATAAATCCATATCCCTATTTAGCCAATTGGGCAAATGGCCGCAAGAGTGGTGACACCACCAAAACAGCAGCATGAGCAAGGGGAAATAAATGAAGGTGATTTGCCAGTATCAATATTCCTGACGCCTATAGCAGCACCCATGCGCTTCAGTATTATGTATCCAGATTTTGGGGTGAATAACTTTCAGATCAGGCCGGATTGGATTAACTTGATGAGCAACACTTTGCAATTCTACGGGCTACCTCATGAGAATCCAAATACATATATCTCCAACTTTCTCAGAAATTGTCAGAACTTCCATGCTCCGGGGGTCAATGAAGATGCTATTAAATTACGACTATTTCCATTTACACTGAGAGATGCTGCATTGGAGTGGTTAGATGCAGAGCCTCATGCCAGCATTACTACATGGGAAGAACTGATCAGGAAATTCTGCACCAAATTCTTTCCACCAGCCAGAGTAGCTAAAATTAGATTGGAAATTCAAACTTTTCAACAGAAAGAGGAAGAAAGCTATAACGAGGCATGGAATAGATTTAATGAGCTGATGAGAAAATGTCCAAACCATGGAATCACTCAAGGAAACCAAGTGCAGTACTTCTACACTGGACTTACACCATTGTCAAAATCTCAAGTTGATGCCTCTGCTGGTGGATCAATCATAGGGAAATCAGTGCAACAAACCATGGACCTATTTGAGTCAATTGCCACCATACATTCAATGTTCTCATCAGAAAGAGTGGTACCACCAAAGGCAGGAGGAATGTATGAATTAGACAGCACAACATCTACCAATGCATAGATAGCAGCTTTAACAAAACAGGTAGAGTTACTTGTAAAATTGCAAACACATGGAGCAAATGCAATGATGGCAAGTTCAGCATGTGAGAATTGTGGGAGAAATCATGCTACAAAGAGCTGCATGATGCTCACTTCTTCAGAGGAACAAGTAAACTTTATTCAAAATAGCTCCCGTAATTTCAACTCATATAGTAACAATTTCCAACAAGAAAGAAGACCAAGTTTGGGGGAGATGTTTCAACAATATGGGCAAAAGACGGACAAGGTGTTCCAGCAAATTGACACGAACTTTCAAAATCAGCAGGCATCCATCAAAAAACTGGAGACACAAATTGGTCAGATAGCACAACAACTTGCAGAACGTCCACAAGGGACATTGCCTGGCAATACAATGATAAATCCTAAGGAACAGTTGATGGCAATTGAAGTGGTGGAGAACGATCCACCCAGGGCCCCCGTAAAAGTTAAAGCATATGTACCTCCACTTCTATTTCCCCAAAGACTTTGAAAGAAGTCGATGGAGCAAAATATTCATGTCATAAATACAAAGAGCGAGGTACAATCACCAGAGATCACTACAGAGAGACCCAAAAGAAAAGATGACCAAGAAGTGATTGATGAAGCTATAAGGGTAGAAAAATCTGCACCAAATGCAACTGAAAATAGAGAAGGTACAAAAACATCAGTTGCCAAAGCACCAAGTCTAGACAAAGCTTACATGCCTCCCATTCCCTTTCCTCAAAAGTTCAAGAAGAACAAACAAGACACAAACTATGAAAAATTCCTCGATGTTCTCAAGAAGCTCCATATCAATGTTCCGTTCAAAGATGTGATACTACAAATTCCAAGATATAAGAAATTTTTGAGAGAGATGTTGACAAAGAAAAGAAAGCTTCCGGAGTTTGAAACCGTGGCATTAACTGATAAAAATTGATTTTCTATATAACATCCAATAAAAATTGCATGGATATCTAAATCAAACCTTTTTTTTTTCCTGCTACAAGTATGAATATTTGAGTGCAATATTTATAGATGTACACATACTAGATTAAGGCATTTAGATGGTGAAAATGAAAACTGACCTCTTCTCTCCACATTGCATTTTAAATCAATAAAATGTTGCAGGCTTGATCTTTTGGTACAAGTAGGGCATCTCAAGTTTTCCAGTACTTGATTCATCTTAAGGTTGTTCAAGGGAATTCTAGCATTCACATTACGTAGAGCACTATTCTCTTGCTGTGCCTCTTGGACCCAGCATAAGATGTATGAGATTATAATATAATCGCATTGAATATGTTACAGTTATAATTTCTTACTAAACAAAGCTAGTATAGTCATGCCAAATAGTGATGAGATATTTAAGGCCCATGCTAATTATAGGAAACAACAACCGTTTGCACTTTCAGTTCAGGATTTCACAGTGGATAAAATAATCTAAAACGATTTCTTACTATCTGTAATCACTTGGTGCGTAAGAAGACTTGCCCCTTTGGTTAAACAGAACAACTTGATCCCATATTGTGCTGATTACATACTCTAGCACATAACTAATCATTGCTTCTTCCTCTTCTTCTTCGTTTTCTTTTTCTCTCTTGGGGACGGATGGAATTATGGTGGGGGCCGGGGGGGGGGGGGAACGAAATAACTAGGCATTGAGAAAGTTTTGGGTCTCTTAGGATTGTCAATAGGTGTATCATACACAACGTTCAATAGAATCTGTTGCCAAAAAGGTTGGGAGAGTTTGGTATTGCGTCGTAAGAATTCTTCACTATTATTTTAACATTAATGATTCATGTAAACCTTAATTGTTGTGATTCTTCATTTATTTATTTATTTATTTTTATTTGTTTTACTCTTGATGCAAGACAAAAAGAGGTAAATTTACGAAAAATGGTTAGTGTGTTGCATTGAGAACATAACATTAATTGGTTCGAATCAGTTCTACTTGAAAAAAATAAAATAAAAATAAAATGTTAAATAAAATAGAGAACCATTCTGTCAAGCGCCATCTCTTTGTTTAATTGTTCTCTATGTTCCTCATCGCAAGAATAGTTTGTCTTGAACAGCTTTTCCAGTCATCAAAACCATCAATTCGTAATAATAAAAAATTGTTTATGAGAAAAAGGCATTAAAAAAAAACGATAAGCACTTCAACTGTACACGTTGTTGGGTTTTTTGATACCCAATAATCCGGACGATACTTTAAAATAGTTGTCGGATTATTTATCGACACCATGGACTTGGCTCGACTCGGAGACGAACTACACTTTTGGATGGTTCAAGTTTGGGTTGGATGATTATTTGGTTAGTTAGACCATTTAGTGATTAATATAGAGTTGGAAATTGGCCCATTAGTTTAGGTTATATGGCAGCCCACTTAGAGATCTTTTGGCCCATATTTGGTGACCTAAACTAACCTATATATATATATATATATATATATATATATTTATCTTCCAGCTGTTTTGGTGTGTGTGTGTTGTAGCAATGGAGAGGAGGGTTGAGAGAAGAGAGGCAGTCGAGAGAGAGGGAAGCCATGTGAGGTTGTGAGTAAGATTCAACCATTGTGATATCTCCTTCTTCCTCTCCATACCTTTGTGGATTGCTAAACCACCACCCTTCTCCTTTTGTGGGGTTTTGAGAGAGTTTGGGCAGTCAAAAATGAAGGTGAAAGTCTCGGGTCGAGTCGAGGTAAATCGGTGTTCGTTTAATTATTTTTTAAGCCCGAAATCAAGATTTATCGAGGGATTTCCGCTACACAGGTTTCCCCTAATTATGTAGGAGACTCAATAATTCTGAAATGCTGAAGTACAAAAGATAAAGAAAATTAATGAAATCATAATCAAATAAAAATCATTTATTTTTTTGGTTTTGAATCCATTATTTGGTTTCTAACATTTGTAACTTTCTGATGAACACCAAAAAGTTATTTTGTAACGGTTCAATCCAACACGATTGCAGTGGAGTAAAAACCGAGATAGAAAAAATGCTCTGTGCTATGATTTGATAGAATAAAATAGAGAAATAAATACTGAAGATTTATTGCATGAAAGTAATAAATTGCGCACTTACTCTTCTTGTGGTCTCTTGTTCTCCTTTGAAAGTATAATTCCATTGAAACTTGTTCCACATAAGAACAATAAACTTGATAATTATTTGATTTTAGTTCATAATAAAGATATAGTAATTAAATTATAAGATTAATTTTTACTCAGCACTCGAGAGAGGGAGTAAAATTAAATTAGGGGTCATGTTTATAAACATGAAAAATTAATTAGAGATAACTAGGTTTTTGAAAATCATATTTGATAGTTAGGTGAAATCATAACCTTAGACTTTCTCATCTTGATTATTCTTCTAACTTGCATTTATTAGTTAAATTTGTCATCACAATCATCACATTAATTTAGTTATAATTGTTGATTCCAAATTTCATTCATTTAGATAAAATAAGAGCTGTACAATTATAGTTCTTAGTAAAAATAAAATATCAATCTCTATGAGTTTGACATCTTAACTCCATTATTATATTATAAAAAGTGACACCGTACAATTGCAGTAAATTTACATTGTAAAAAATGGGTGACAAGCCTTTAATGCCATTGCTGAAATTCTTAATTTGAGTTTTACTAGTATTATTACTAACTAGCTTTTATTTTATTTTAGATTTCTTTATTTTGTTAATTTTGGCCACCCACCTTGATCTCTCTTTTGTTTTTTCAGGTACTATTCAGTAATTTATGCCTTATTCTAACAATGGCAAGCGAGCAAAACAATTGCAATAAGTAAACTCGACATGGATGATGTTGATATGCTTGTAGAAGATATATGTTGTAAGATTGTTATGGGATGCATTATATTGGGCACTGTTTGAGTACATGTACTGACCCGAAGGTTAAAACTTTTGTTCTTTATACAATATCAAAAGCAATTGACAAATATGATGAAAACTACATGCTTATGGGAGATTATGCATCTGTCGATTAGGATGATAATGTCATACCTATGGGAGATGGTCCTCCTCCGTTGAATGAGAAGGTACTTGTAAAATATTATAATGAACTTGCCAAGTTAGATGATAGTAACATGTTTGTGGGAGATGGGAGATACTAGTACTATGGATTCCATGTGTGCTAAATTTTGTGTGGACTATCTGAGACCAATAAGATGAAAATTGGGTAAAAATCTTAAGTTGGAGGTCAATTTTCGAGAATGAGTGTTTATAAGGGGAATTGCATTAATCACTGTATAAAAGGTAAAAAGTTAACGTATTGTGAAGCTACTCTAAAAGATCCTAATGAAGACAACTATAAAAATCTTATTGTGAAATATTTCTTTGTAATGTTTATGACTCAAATGATTAAGCATACAAGGGTTTAAAACCTAAGACCTTAAAGTCATCCGACTTAGGAGTCATCAACCTAAAACTCGCTATAGAGATCATTTAGAAATCTTAGTGTAGAGATGTCCACACATAAGATTTGAAACGCCCTGCCTGCATAACGTTACTGAACCTAAAACGTAATGTACGTCGATTATAGATACCAACTAAAAGTCAAACCCACCATTAAGGCTACTACAATATGCAACGTTTAATAAATTATTTTTAATAAAATTTTTGCATTATTTTCCTGTAAATAAGACTAATCAACTTGTAATTCACTATGCACAAATCCCAAAATATGACAAACACAATAGAGATAAGTCGAAATTTTACTATGAAAATAAAATGAAATGTACATATAGATGCAAAATACACAATGAGCTATGTACAAGTTAATGCAAAATCACGTTTGAAAATGAACATGTGTCCCAAAATACTAACTACATGCTCTATGATATGAGTCATAGTACCAAACTCCGTTACCTAATAAGAAAAATCGTGAGAATATATATGAGGTGATAGCTCAATGAGTGGATAAGATCGAAAATAATTATACATTTTCATTCATACATTTTTTTTTTAAAGAAAATCAAGTTTATAGCCTTTAACAATTCATAGTATGAAAACATATAATAAGAATCAAGATATGAGATATCTTCATAATGCTTAAAATATCATATTATCATTATGCCATAATCATCATCTGAAATCTGTACAATCATCTCATCACATCAATGTACTCAAAATCCACCAAAAATATACCTTTCTGACTGAAGTCTATAATAGACCATACGCATTTAAACTATCCCTTGACTAAGCACTCTCGACATGGGCCTCAAGCCCCTCAATGAACAAAAGCGGGTCTCAGAAAACCTCTCATAATCAATTCTAAAACATGGTCAAGGCCTCTCAGTGAGCTACTAGTACATGGTCAAGACCCTTTTATCCACAATCAAGACTCCTTAGAACACGGCCAAGGCCCTTTAGTGAATTAGAAAAAACGTTTTTGGTTGATCTCATGGGTACTTTTTTATCGATCTCAATATCACATATGATTCACATTCAAATAAACAAATGTACCATATATAATTTTTGAAATTCAACATGTATCATAGTAAAAGAAA